TTTATGCTTTAATTTAGTGTGAGGAAAAAGCTGGAAAATCCAGAGATCACCATTCATTTGAATGTGTCCCTCAGAAACTATTTCTGATGGATCAGGCTGTACTTCTGCTTCTAATACAAAGTTCTCATCATATTAGTTTAGTGTTATAGCTAATAAATGCAATATAATTTGATCATTTGTTTGGGATTGTCTGAAAGAATTGACACTCATTGAAGAAATGCTGCTCAATGGGTATTTTAGGTGACCAACACCAGGACATAGTTGATATTGGCATCTATGAAGGGGTACAGGTTAAAGTATATGAATAGCCAAAACCTTTTTTTTTTAGTTTTGGATATAAGCAGGTTAAAGTTAAAACCCCTGCCAGTCTATTCTTTTTGCTGTCTTTGTATAAGTGAGGACATTTTCCTTCACTTCCGCTGCCAGAGACACAACAGAAAGTTAGATTGAAGTGAGGGGAATTCTCCTCTAAGACAGCCTTCTGGAGGAAAAAGATGTCCCCATGGAAGATTTTCCCTTACTTCTTTTCTAGGGACAACTGGAACATTTTTGGATTACTCGAACCTTCTTTGTTGACAATGGTCCCTAGTACAAATAGAAGTGTAAGTCTCGAGTTCTGTGAATGAAGGGGGAGACTGTCATTCAATTGATTTCTCCTCCATTCAAAGAAGTTGATGCATTGTGGGATCATAATAATAGGAGCCCTGTGAATGGTAGCGAGAAGGGGACGGCGAATGGAGAGGTGGAGGAGGAGCACAGCGCAGACAATAATCAGACAAAAGGAAAGGGCTATGACGTGGCAGGAAGGAGAGGCAGTGCTAGGGAACTGACTTTCCAGGAGTAGTCAAATTTTTAGCAAGTTTAAAGGCACATTGCAAGTGAATAAAGAAATAATCGATGGAAATGCTGCAATTAGTCAATTTAAATGCTTGATTTTTCCTGCAACTTTGTAAAAGTTGGTGACAGGGTCTCTAAAAACACTATACAGGGAGGCATGAAAATGAGGTATAGGGTTTATATTAACTTTAACTCAATATACTACATACTACATATTGAGTTAAAGTTAATGTAAACCCTATACCTCATTTTCATGCCTCCCTGTATAGTGTTTTTAGAGACCCTGTCATCAACTTTTACAAAATTGCAGGAAAAATCAAGCATTTAAATTGACTAATTGCAGAGCAGCTCCGTTTCAGGAGCAAAGTGTGTAAATACCAATTTTGTAAACATCGATACTAGAACCGCTTATTAGGGCAGAGATGCTTAGTCATTGGATAGCTTCAACCCACCCCCAAAATCAAACATTAATCAACAACAGATTAGATTTGATTGGCTTAATTATGTAACTTGGATCATGACTCGGTACCTCTTATAATACATTAGACTCATCTGAGAATGTTCTTAAAAGGAGAGGCCTGACAGTTGAACGGGTAGACTCTGAAACACCTGTTCTGGTGCTCATTTTCCTCTAGAACAGTGATACAAACAAACACAAAATTGATCGTGAACATGCTGAATTGTAACCCCTTCTCTAATAAAGAGGTTCTCCAGTTGGGCTGACCTCCTTCTGAAACATGTTAGTTGTCTGGCTTTCAGAGGTTCTGAATTTATGTGGTGCATACTTTTTCCTGGGCAATTTAAGGAAGTAGTGAAGCAGAGAATGAGCCCAACAGCCATGTAATTAGTATTTTCAGAAAGAGGTCAGCAATTGAAAGCTATGTACGTTTCTGAATAGCTATTCTTCAACCATTTTTACAAGGAAAGGTAAGGCTCCACATAAAAACACAGTACTGCCCACAAATCTGCTATAATGAGGATAATGCGGCATCTTAATATCAGTCGGGATGCTCCTGGTCAACCAACAAGTGAGATAGACTCTAAATTACAACTAAACAAACATTTAAGAACAAGGACAATTCTTCTACTGTATAAGTATATCCAATTTTAATAAAATTACTACAAATTAATACACTGAACTACACTGTAAGCGCACCCAGTTTACACTGGATACTGGTCTGCCTCTTGCGGTGTCTTTCAGTCCCAAAATACTGTATTATCATGCCTACCTTTACGTCCTTCAACCCTAAATGTTGACCTCCCTCCTGCTGCATCCTCCAGAATGAACATATAGTACAATATTCTCCTCAATGAGTGGAGCAGCATTATAGCTAAAAGGCAAGGTGCGGTTGGTTGGGGCAGCATTGTAATATATGTGGAGGTTGCCTTCATCCTATATTTACATTCTGCAATTTACACATAAAATAAATACATAATACAAAATGACAAATACCAACTCTTAGGCCTTGTTCACACCAAGCGCGTTTCAGGAGCAGAGCAGTTACAGACCGGATCAAAACTGTGTCCAATGTATTCCAATGGTATATTGGGCTCTGGTTCACACCGTGGCGTTCAATTCCAGAGCATGTTAAAAAAACTGCAGCAAGCCCTATTTTACCTGCTCTGGAACGCATCAAAAACGCATGCAAACGCCCCTGAACGCACTAAAAGCCCATTCTAAGCGAAAGAAAAATAAAAAAATTTAGAACCAAAAACGGCTCGGAACGCATCAAAAACGCGGCACAGCCCACTGCACTGCGTGTGCAGAAACTCATGCAGATCTGGTCCGCATTTGGTGCGAACAAGCCCTTATACATGTAAACAAAATCTTAATAAACATGGAATGGACAGGGAAAGCAAGTTCACCTTAATCACTCCAAGGAAAACTGTGATTGCTTGAAGTCTGAGAGAGCATAAAAATAGTAGATGTTCCTGAAGAGGGCAAGTGTTTTGTTGCCTGCTCCGAGGCAGCACAGGAATACAGGGAAAGCAGTAGGATCAGTAAGGGAAGACAAGATAGAGGATTAGAGATAGACACAGAAGGAATAAATAAGGGAATCAGATGAAAAACACAGAGTAGTTCTCCATGGGCCCATTCCAGGAACCAAATGACCTCACAAAGTGATTTATTCAACGGTCTTAAATAGAAAATGCAACAGAACATTGTTGACCGGCCAGCTGTCACAGCGCTCCCTCCCCCTGCCTGCAGCATTGGAATCTTCTTTGGTGCCCTCACCTCTATACACTGTTTATAGACGTGATGATTTATGGGAACTTGGACCGCTGCAGAGGAGGGGGAGAGACGGTGGAAGGACCAGTCTAAGAAGCTGGCTCCGAGCTTTGGGTGAGTCTAACTTACACAAGTGAGCACTTAACCCTTGCAGCACGGGGGTAGCACCACTGCAAGGGTTAATAACATTTCCTGGAGTTCTTTAAATGGAAAAAAAATATCTGTCATTTTGTGGGATTACTTTTATTGTAATGCCAGCTAACATCATGCAATAGGCTGCATAGAAAAGTTACATAAATATCAAATACCCAAATTTCTGTATAACATAAAGATGATGTACAGTATTGTGCACATAGATTTGTGAATGATAATAGTGGCTCTTTAATAAGATAAATAAAATGTAATTTCTCTGTTTTGGGGCATAAGGGTTCTTTAAAACTACTTCAAAACTAACAAGTAGAGACTGTAAGCAGATATGGCTAGCCTGGAATGAGTCAGACATCTAACAAGTAGGGTTGGTTTTAAGCCTAGGTTGCATATACTGTAGGTCGCAGCCTTGGGCATTACTTTCCTTCCCATGCCGTATCACGATGATTAGAATCCTTACTACCTCAAGGAACCAAAAAAAAGCAGAGAAGCATCTTCACTAATGCTGTCCTCACATTTTATGCTCTTGGGCCTTTCAAAATTTTCTCAATGAGGCCTGCCAACCACCAGTGGCAGCATACAGTGTCTCTGGGTTGTTGTTTAGTGAGCGTGGTTATGTGCAGGCTATGGCTGCCCAATGACTTCTGCATAGGTGTCTTTTTGCAAAGAACATGACCACAATTCAAAAGCTTTAATAAACCCTCCAAAATGCCCACATGTTTACAGTTAATAAGAAATTATTATTATACATGATTTCTATAGTGCCAACAGTTTGCACAGCATTTTACAATATAAGGATGACATTACATTTACAATACAAACCAAAACAAGATGGTAAGGAGGGCCCAGCTCATGAGAGCTTACCATCTATAAGGCCCTATCTTCTTGATATTTATCCCTTCTGGCTAGTAGCTCAGGACTTGAAATTTTGAGCCCTGCCTTACTGTATGCATTTTGGGGGGTTTAATTCAGCTTCTGCATTGTGGCGATTTATTTATATTAATAACTTTTATTTGTGGTGTATACATAAAATATTAAGCTAGAAAAAAAAATCCATTCAAGAATATGCTTTCTGGTGTCAGCACAGTACTGATTGTGTGTCTTGGACCATGTTCCTGGTCATGTTAGTACTGTACTTATTGTGTCTCTGGGAAAATGTTCCCGGTTTTGTCACCAAGGTACTGATTGCGTCTCTACAGATGTTGCTGCTGGTGTATGTACAGTTTTTATGTTGTCTCTACGGACACATTGTCCACAGCAGGAAAGGTGAGTATTTACTTTGCAGGGTATTCATTTTGGTTATTTTCTAATTTATGATAGAGTCGCTTTAAGACTAAGGGCACCATAACGAGAACTGAACTTATAAGATAATCAGATTAAGTTTTTAAATAAAATTTTAAACATTTCATAAGTACACATGCAAAATTATAATTTGCTGAATATTCAGACTGTTCCCAAGCGCAGTTTTTACTTGTTTTCTTTAAGTAATGTAATGCAGCTAGCTTATACACATCAAAAGCAGTTGAGTGACAAATGAAAGCTATACAGTATACTAATATATCATGCACTCCACCAGAATTATTCATACTTTAACAGGAATAAATAAATGAGTCATAAATATGAGTTTAAAATGATATCATCCCAGATGCTATCCAAACTGGAAAGATGCAAGACAAATACAAACATTGACTTAAAGATACCGTAGCTATAATACAATGGAATGTAAAAAAAAATAATATGCTTTCCTAAAATCTTGAGTCCACAAAACAAATGTATATAGCCTTACCTTGTTGCTTGCAGTCCTAATATTTTTCAAAATTATCAGCAAGATTTCTGGATACAAGCTGACAAAAATCAAAAGAATTATAGCAAGCCAAACTGACACCGATGTCATCATGTTGGAAAATATAAAGTACATTCGTTGCTGCTTGAGGAAAGGCCTAAAAGATGAAGAAAAAAAAATATGGATGAAAAGTGTCTCTCAAAAATAAAAACTTAATTGTATGTGTTATAAAAAAAAAAAAAAAAAAAAAAAAAA